CAATCATCATCATCATTATTATCATCATCATCATCAACATCATTATCATCATCAATATCATCATTATCATCACCAATCATCACCATCATCACCATCATTATCATCATCACCATCATTATCATCATCACCATCATCACCATCATTATCATCATCACCATCATTATCATCACCAGGCATAATCATCGCCACCATCATCATCACCATCATTATATAATCACCAATCATCAACATCATCATCATCATTATTATCATCACCAAGCATCGTCATCACCACCACCATCATCATCACCACCACCATCATCATCATTATTATCATCACCAAGCATCGTCATCATCATCATCATCGTCATCGCCACCACCATCATCATCATCATTATTAATATATAGTAAGGGCTTCAAGTGCAGAGAAAAGAAATGCCTTCGTACCTGTTTCACAGCGGTCTCCTTCCCATCCTGGTGCACATGTGCATTCAAATCCAGCTACCTTGTCAGTACATTTTCCATTGTTAAGACAAGGGTCTGATACACATTCGTTGGTATCTATAGAGAATTTATCAAAAGAGTTATGCCTACAGAATTGTTTTATGGGTTGCCTGTGGCACGAATTTTTTTCTGATTTCCCAGTAGGTCTTTGCGGGTGTCACCAGATGGAACCCGTAATAATTCAAACTAAAATCACTTTCTATATATAACCACTAATCAATCTCTGACACAGGGAGTCCGCGGAATGCTTTCCATTGTTATTAAGACAATTACAATTACATTCCTCTTCGATTTCATCGGGTTATCCACAACCGGCAGAACGAAGCCTGGGAGTGGATGAACAATGAATGGTGAGATAAAACAAAGAACGCAGCTCACATGTAGAACAATACACATTGTTCACCATGATCCATGCTTTCTTTGTTTTTGTTATTTTGTCCAATCCCAAGCTTTGTTCTACCCATTTCATAAGGCGAATGTAGACTGGGATTCTTGTGTTTCTAGTAAGAGAGGGACTGGAGAAAAATCAATTATTTTCTTACTGATTTCACAGTTGCTGCCTTCATATCCTTTTGCGCATGTGCAGGTGTAGCTGTTGATGCCATCCTTACATGTTCCGCCATTTTGACAAAGGTCAGCAGGTTTACACTCGTCGATGTCTGTTTAAAGTGGAATAATTAAAGAAACAAGTCTTTAGTTTTATGAATCAAAATTTGACATCACCTGGGCGGTTATTAAGGGAAAGCTTTAATGATGTTACGCAAAGAATTGTCTGAGCATGCGCAATGTCCATCATTGAAAATAGCGAAAGAACTCTCTGAGCATGCGCAATGCCGATCATTGAAAATAGAGAAAGAATTGTCTGAGCATGCGCAATGTCGATCATTGAAAATAGGAAAGAACTTTCTGAGCATGCGCAATGTCGATCATTGAAAATAGAAAAGAATTCTCTGAGAATGCGCAATGTCAATCATTGCAATTCATGATAGACGAAGAACCAACGGAGCATGCGCAATGTCGATTATTGGTGCAAGGCGAAGAACGTAGCTTACTTTCATCGCAGTTTACTCCCGTCCATCCTGCTGCGCATGTGCACTTGTAACCGTTGACCAAATCAGCGCAGGCGCCGCCATTCTGGCATGGGGCAGATTCACAGTCGTCCTTGTCTGATAATAATAAGATAAATAAATGAATAAATAAATAAATAAATA